TCTATATTTTTTAACTTGAGCCAATGAAAAATAAATGACTTGCCCTAAGGGCAAGAAATAAAACCAGAAAAATACCAGAAATAAAACTGCCATGCAGATTACAGCTTTTCCAATTATTTGTCTTTATTCTGCAGATTTGTCTTTATTTAATTATTTTGTCTTTCCAAATAAACTGTCTTTACAGTTGCTTAATAGTTTTCTCTGATTGGTAGATGTGGAGTGGGCAGCCATTATGGGACATTTGGAGGCCCCATTCAAGCAATGAGTGCCCTACAGAATCCAAGGAAACCAAACAAATCACCTGGAAAAAACTTCTACACCAATCCACCCAAGAAAGGAAGTGGTTACAGGTAAGCAAATGACATTATCCTTTAATATGTTTCTGTGGTTTTTCTGTCAGATGTATTGATTTGTCCTTGCACTCTAATAGCTTTCCTGACGTCACCCTCTCCAAGATGGTGTCCCATTCCTCAGACCCCTATGACAGAGCCAAGGAAATGCTAAAGGTATTTTTAGGTCTACATAAATGAGATTTTTAATCAGACTCCCGGGTCCTTGTTTTAATCAAGATAAGGCGTCCTCTGAGTACCTGACAGTATAATTCTATGCAAGCAGATGACTGTGTTCTCTTTCTCTAATGAGAGAGATAATTTGTTTACCAGCGTGAGGTCATGGCACACAAATCCATGCTAAAAGGGGGAGCGTTTCGTTTGAACCTTCATCCAGTTGAATGCTTTAACAGCAATCCTTACAAATTTGACAAACCTCTACAACCTCCAAAGAAGACAGAGGAGAAAAAGCACATTGCGTTGCCCTTCAAACCAAGTTCGCCAAGTAAAAAGGTAAGTAAAGGAGATCAAACACAGTGTAAAAATGTTCAAGAAGTGCATATGGAAAGAGCTGTATTAAGTTTCCATCTTGGAACATTTTGTGGCATATTTATTTTATTATTTTTCTTGTGCAGACTGGAGGCATGAAAGCAGGAACATTTGACTCCTACCCCACCTACTCTGCAGAACCCTACGGTACCAAAAAGACCAAATCAGCAATGACAAATAAGGAAGTAAAAATATTTCACCCCTCCCCTGGTCCAAAGAGCACACCTGTCAAGAGCATCATCAGTCTCAACGTCAAAAAGTAAGCTGGGCTCCAGGAACTAGCACCAAGACACTCATATTACACTCCAATCAGTGCTTAATGCTTTGCACAATAATCAGTCATATCAGTTGCTGAATAAGTTCCACAGGGAAAGACACTACAGGCTCAAAGTAATGTAAC